ACTCCTCCCACCTTGTGTTTATTTTCATTTCTCCCAAGAGCACCTTTGTGACCTGGCTTAGTTTTATCCTCCTCCCCTCCCTCGTTCTTCCTAATTGCATAAGTAATGGATGAATACATCTTCATTGCAACATATTCAAATAAAAATAAAGCAAAATTGTTTGCTTATCCCTTGCCATCTACCCTTCATTCTCCAGAGACAACCACTATTAATTGGATAAATATGTGTCCTTTGCAGCCTTTTCTTATGTATTTACAGATAGATAGGCGCCTGGTGGCATAGGGGGTTATGTGTTGGGCTGCTAACTGCAAGGTGAGCAATTCGAACTCACAGGAGAAAGATGAGGCTTTCAGCTCCCGTAACGGTGTACAGTCTTGGAAATGCACAGGGTCAGTTCTCCTCTGCCCTCCAGGCCTGTTCCAAGTGGAACGGACACGTGGCAGTAAGTGGAGTTGGTAAGCAGTGATCCAGCTACTACCGGGCATGCAGTCTGCCCTGAAAGTTAGCCATCTATTTCCCGGATCTTGGAAGTGGAGAAAGTGGAATGTATTACATAGTCGTTTCAAACCCTAAAACATTGTCTATCTTGCATATTCATATGAGACCAAGTACCTTAATACAAAAACAAAACTCACTGCCATTGAGTCAGTTCTGACTCATAGCAGCCCTACGAGACCTTATTAAGATGGAGAAATGTTTGAGGAGCTTTGTGGTTTGCTTTTAACCTGAAGAGTTTGTCTCCCTGCTCTGTCCTTCTGGCCACGTGTTTTAAAGAAAGTTACAGGTAGTGGCTCTAGATCTTTTTGTTAAGTGCTGCACAGAATCCTGCTGTTTAGCTAGACCATGGTTTCTAGTCCTTTGGAGTGGCCATTTCTTTGTTCTAGGCTTTGGGTAGGACAAGCAGTGCTGCACTAAGACTCTGGGGCTTGTAGGCAGGGACCCTGTGCCCTTGGCTGGCTGGGGTTGCTCTAGATCAGAGGTTTGGAGTCCACCTACTGCAGCACCGCCCAGTGAAGGCTGAGTCTGGCAGGGAAGCCAGGCTCTTCCTCAGAAAGCCGGAAGAGGCAAGGATGTGGCCTGTTGTAAGTGACTGTTTGTGCCCTGGTCCTCCCTGATTCTGGAAGGTGTGCACTGCGAGCCCCACTTTTCAGATAAGGCTGGGAAAGGGCCCCCCAGGTTATCCCAGCAGGACTCGAACCCCATAACAATGTAACTGTAAAGCCTTCCAGTTTTCCCGATTATCCAGGGGCTCCTGCTCCTGGGATGGAAGGCCCACACCTGCAGCCCCAGCTATGGCCTTAGCGCTCCATGATAACACCAGCTGCTCTGTCTTCCAGGTGCACCCGGCCGGACAGGTAACCGGGGAAAGCCAGGGCCCAAGGGCAAAGCTGGGGCCATTGGTCGGGCCGGCCCTCGAGGCCCCAAGGGGGTGAGCGGTACCCCAGGAAAGCATGGCACACCAGGCAAGAAAGGGCCCAAGGGCAAGAAGGGGGACCCCGGCCTGCCGGGCCCCTGCAGCTGTGGCAGTGGCCATGCCAAGTCGGCCTTCTCGGTGGCAGTGACCAAGAGCTACCCAAGGGAGCGGCTGCCCATCAAGTTTGACAAGATCCTCATGAACGAGGGTGGCCACTACAACGCGTCCAGTGGCAAGTTCGTGTGTGGCGTGCCGGGCATCTACTACTTCACGTACGACATCACGCTGGCCAACAAGCACCTGGCCATCGGCCTGGTGCACAATGGCCAGTACCGCATCCGGACCTTCGACGCCAACACGGGCAACCACGACGTGGCCTCGGGCTCCACCATCCTGGCTCTCAAGGAGGGGGACGAGGTCTGGCTGCAGATCTTCTACTCAGAGCAGAACGGGCTCTTCTACGACCCCTACTGGACCGACAGCCTCTTTACAGGTTTCCTCATCTACGCCGACCAGGAGGACCCCAATGAGGTGTAGTGGGGCTGGCTGGGAACCCTGGACAGGGGACTGTGATTACGGAGTAAGACCCCAAAACAGGCTGTTGTGGGTTGGGAGCTGGGAGCTTCGAGCTTCAGGCCAACCTCTAGCCCCTCACCCTGCCATCATTAAAGCCAAGCATTTCCATCCACCCTTCCTCCTATCCAATCACTGTGCTCAC